AATCAAATGACGTATTCCATTAGGCAAATCTGCTGCACAAAACCTTTTTAAAGTGTTGAAAAGCACGGATGTCAGTTTGAGGAGTAAAGTGTTCTTGACCCAAGCCATGGTGTTTTCAATAACCTCATATGCATGTGAAAGTTGGACAGTGAATAAGGAAGACCATAGAAGTACTGATGTTTTTGAGTTATGGTGTTGGAGGAGAATATAGAAAGTGCCATGGGCTGCCAAAAGAACCAATACATCCGTTTTATAAGAATTGCAGCCAGAGTGCTCCTCGGAGGCCCAGATGGCCAAACTTTGTCTCTCATACTTCGGACATATTGTCAGGAGGGACCAGTCGCTTGAGAAGGATATCATTCTTGGTAAGGTGGAGGGTCAGAGAAAAAGAGGAAGACCTTCAACGAGATGGACTGGCCAAGTGGCAGCATCAATGGACTCAAGTGTGGCAACAGTAGTGAGGTTGGCCCATGATCAGGCAGTGCTTTGTTCTGCTGTGCATAAGGTTGCTATGAGTTGCTACCAACTTGATGGCACCTAACAACAACAACCCTAGTAAGTGGAGTCCTGGTGTGGCGCAGCGGGTTAATATGCTGGACTGCAAGGTCAGTGGTTAAAGCTTACCAGTGGCTCCTCACAAACCCCATGGTCACTATTAGTAAGCACTGACTCGACAGCACATAACAACAATAACCCTGTAAGTAAGGAGCTCTGTTAGTGTAGTGGATTATGAGCTCAGCTGTTAACCGCAAGGTCAGCAGTTGGAATCTACCTGCTGCTCCGCAGGAGAAAGATGAGGCTTTCTGCTCCTATAAAGGTTTATAGGCTTGGAAATCCTACATAGGGTCGTTATGAGTCAGAACCGACTCTAAGCCACATCACCACCACCACCACCCTAGTAAGTAGGCAGGAAAATGTGTATTCCAAAGCTAATTGTTCTGGTTTCCCAACACACATACCTATTGCTCCCATATCATCAATGTAGGGACTTTTGGCTCCGACAATCCCCCCAAAGCATTCCTTCTGGGGTGCACAGTAGGATTTGTCCAGGTGAGTCTTTCCATCGCTGTCCACCATGCACCACTCACAATCCAGCACACCGAAACAGTCCCTGACAGAAAGAAGATCCTGAAAGTTCTGGAAAAGACTGGGGCATCTGATGGTTTTCAAGAGCTCTACTACCCTAGTGCTGTGACCTCTCTGAACTTGGTTTCCTTTTCCTTAAGAGAACAGCAATGGAGAAAGTGGTTTTAAACCCTCAACTACTTGGAGATGAAAGAAAAAACTACTCTCAGTGGATCAAAATATTAAATCTACCTCCCATTTTGGATTAGTGTAGAGTTACTGAAAACCATCTAATATGATCAAAGGGCTGAAAGACTTGTTAGACTCCGGTCTAACATTCCCCAAATGTGTGGTCATTTAAGAAAGGAAAAAATGGTTAGATAGGTTGACAAAATACTAGGATAATTTAACAGGTATTTTGTTACTAATTTCTTAAAGCTTTTAAAGTTTAGGTGCATCATAATTCTCTGATACTATATGCAATTTCTCAAATTTAATTAACTTTGGGTTATTACGTTAATATCCCAAATGATCAACCTGATGCCAGATTGTCCTTCTGGTAATGTACATATCAAAAGGAGAACTGGCTGTCCCTTCTACCCACTTTGTGTTCCATCAAATGCACTCATAATTCCCTCTCACCCTTGCTCCTTCATATCATGTCCCCTCATACTTCTTTTAACTCAAGAATAACTTTGCTATCCACAGAGAAGGCTACTAGCATATGGCATAAATGCCCAATAGCTGGAGCTATCTGAAATGGGAGAGTCAAATAGCCTGGATAGCCTCAAGCTTTGTAGAGAAATGGTTTTTGGCAATCAATGTCAGGTCAAAAAACCGGTGTATCTTTTTATAACATCAAGAATGAGACTGGGAAAACTCAATGAGGCTGCTAGCCCTCAGAGTAGCCAATCACGACCCGAAATAAACACGGGCCCGGCTTACCCACTTTCCATCCTCTGAGTGCACCTGCTGTTGATACACTGGTGAAGGGCATCCTGCAGGCCAGGATCGATAGCGGTGTAGCTCACTGGTTCCTGGTGGACCTCACAGCTTGGGTTTCTAAACAGAAAGCAAGTAAGAAGGTTAGGACTGGCTCGAGGGCTGTGGGGCAGCACCATAGTTTGGTTTTGACACTGATCACAAAGAACTGGGTTTGAACCCTGGCTTTGCCACTTAGCATGACCATGGGCGAGTTAGGTAACCATTTTGAACTTTGATTTCTTCATCTTTATGAGTAATAGCAATAATATTAAGAAACTTGTTGTTGTTGTTAAGTGCCATTGAGTCTGTTCTGACCCATAGCGACCCTGTATAGGGTTTCCAAGGAGATGCTGGTGAGCTTGAAGCACCAACCTTGTAGTTCAAATGGCTTTGCAGTCTGGCGCATTAAGAAACTAGGGAGTTATAAATACTTAGCAAAATGTTGTTGTTGTTAAGTACCATAGAGTCGGTTCCAACTCACAGTGACCCTGGCACAGGGTTTCTGAGGCTGTAAATCTTTATGGGAGCAGAACGCTTCATCTTTCTCCCACAGAACAGCTGGTAGTTTCAAACTGCTGACTTTGAGGTTGGCAGCCTGACCTGCAACCACTATGCTACCAGAATTCCTTACTCAGCAAACTAGACAGGCATAAAATCAAAAGTGATTATAATGTTCCCTCATTCTCATTCTAAATCTTACTTTTCAGCAGCAACCACTGTTCACAGGTTAAGTGAGAATCCTTTGAGACACTTCCCCCTGCCCCCCAAGCCTACCTAGCTCTGGTAGCATAGTGGTTATGCATTGGGCTGCTAACCTCAAGTCAGCAGTTCAAAACTACCAGCTGTTCCACGGGAAAAAGATGAGGCTTTCTGCTTCCGTAAAGATTTACAGCCTCGGAAACCCTGTACAGGGTTGCTATGAGATGGAACTGACTCCATAGCACATAACAATAACTACAACAACAAAGCCTACCTAAACATAAAAGAGGCATGGTGACACAGTGGGGTAAGCGTTGGGCTGCTAACCGAAAGTTGGTGGTTCAAACCCGTCAATGGCTCCACAGGAAAACGATGAGGCAGTCTACTGTAGAGATTTATAGGCTCAGAAAACCTATAGAGCACTCTACTCTGCCCTACAGGGTTATGAGGAGCCAGAATCAACTCAATGGCAGTGGGATAGACAGACAGTATACACAAACATATTTCATTGTCTTTTATATAATTCTATAGGCTGTTGTTGGTATGAGATGGAACCGACTTGATGGCTCGATGAACCCTGTATTAGGTGTGATTTGCTAATTTGAAAAGGAAGCAATTTAATGTGTATGAAGCCCCTGGCATGTGGTAGGCACTTAGTAACTGTGTGTAATATATTTATAGTTTTTGGATATAGCACATAAACTCTTCACACTTACATAATATTTATATTTAAACCTAAAAGCAGACGTCATTTTAAGGCACTAGGGAAGTAACTTGGAATCTGCCTCACTACACACTGCCATTATTAAGCAAAATCATCTTTTACTGTAGCCCAAAAGAAATATAAGATACAAAATGTTGAGATGTGTTGTTTTGTTTTGTTTTTTACCGATTCTCTGCATTGGTGAGGTTGCCAGTGCATTCGTTGACCTCTAGAGGGCACTCACAAGGACATTCACATTCGTTTTGTTCCATTCTGAAAAGCATAAAGAAAGTTATTTTGCAGAGTGTCAGTGACAAACTACATACTGTATACACACCAGGAAAGCATAATAAAGAAACCCTGAGCTAATCAAAAGGACAGTAACAAGGAAGCTCTTACCAAATGTTTAAATAAACAACTGCTCTTAAATTCATTGCCCCTAGGACAAGGATGTTGCAAAGGACATACTTCTAAAGTCTTTTTTAACTGGCTACTTTCCCTATTTCCAATACATGCTCAAGCATTTGTTTGTTTATTTTGCAAATACCATTTACAAAATGAGTGGCATCAGTTAGAATATTAAACCGCCTGGTAAACAGAATATGACCCATCATGTTTTTACCGGTGACAGTTGAGACAGAGCCGGTCCACCATGCTGCAAGCACAGAAGGCAAGAGAGTCGCATGTCTCGTTGACAATGCCGACAAACGCATTGGTTCCCGGGATCCTTGCCAGTCTGTACTTAGAACAGTGGCTGCCATGAACAAGGTTTGTCAAATCCCCCTATGGAACATTCAAGGTGCTATGAGTGAGTGCAAAGACCCTGCCCCATATTGGGGAAAACAATCCTTCAGTCATCTAATGCAAAATAACTTAAAAAAACAATAATTACATAAGTATGTATTTATTTCTAATTACAAAAGTAATAAACACATTGTTGCCTTATCATTAAGTACCAAAGAGTGAGTTCCAAGGAGTGGTTGGTGAATTTGAACAGCTGGCCTTACAGTTCAAATGACTTTGCAGTCTGGCCCATTAACCCACAGTGTCACATCAGGACTCCAAAGTCATATATATTGTTGTTGTTGTTAAGTGCCCTTGAGTCGATTCCAAGCCATAGCTATACTGTATAGGGATTCCGAGGAACAGCTGCTGAGCTTGAACTGCCTACCTTGCAGTTCAAACAACTTTGCAGTCCAGTGCATTAACCCACAGCACCACACCAGGACCCCAATATCATATACAGGCACATTAGGAAAACAAAGAAACTATACTCGTGATCCCATCACTCAGAGGTAATTCCCATGAAACAATTTTATATATTCTTTTGTTTATGTTTATCTAGATAAAGCATTTTATAGATGAGTATATTACCTGGTTTCTTTTAAACGCACGCATAGTGGTTACAAATCGGGCTATGAACCTTAAGGTCAACAGTTCAAAACTACCAGCCACTCTGTGGGAGAAAGATGAGGCTTTCTGCTCCCATAAAGATTTCTAGCCTCGGAAACCCTGTACAGGGTCGCTATGGGTTGGAACCAACTCGATGGCACATAGCAACAACAACAAATAACACTGGAGTCCTGGTGTGGCGCTGTGGGTTAATGCGCTGGACTGCAAAGTTGGTGGTTCAAGCTCACCAGCTGCTCCTCAGAAACCTTATACAGGGTTGCTGTGGGTCGGAACCAACTTGATGGCACTTAACAGCAGCGATATAACATTGAAAGACAATAGCTTGAAGAAACAAAGACAACTTTCAGATAAAGAAATCTCAGATGACCTCAAAGGCAAACGCAATTACCCAGAAAACATAACATTTTTCTCCCTCTTAGATAACTTCTAGAATAAAAAATACATATATTTAAAAATCAAAGTCTCTTTAAGATAGGACTTTGTTGTTGTTAAGTGCCTTCGAGTCAGTTTTGACACATAGCAATTCTGTATAGGGTTGCCGAGGACCAGTTGGTGAGCTTGAACTGCTGACCTTGTGATCCAAACCAAGTTTGCAGACCAGTGCATTAACCCATAGCACCATACCAGGACTCCTAATTCTAGAATAGTCATACAATCCAATCACAACAAGTATCCTCATCATTCTATAATAAGGAAATGTGATAGTCAGCTTCTTGATTTGCCTTATTTGTTTACCATACTGGAAAACCAAGGGTTCCAAACCAGTATCATAAAATAATATATGATAAAAAAAATGTGTAATCATTTTCCTATGTGCAGTATGTACACTGGGCAAATCCAACCCCATGTCAGTTTCCATGCCAGCGGTGCCTTATATATGTGTGGTGACAAAAAGCCTTACTCTAAGAATCATGGCAGTGAATGCTTGAGTTCTTAGAGGTCCAGACAAACTTCCTACTATCTGGAAGACACCCGCTTCTACAATAGGAACAATAATATAGGTTTATCATCCTGTAGGAATCCTGGCATGGTACTTTAGGATAAAGCACTGGACCACAAAATCAGTTTGAAACTCAAGGTCAGTGGCTCAAGCCCACCAGCCACCCCTCAAAACTCACAGCTATGAGTCAAAACAACAACAACAAAGTTAAGAAGTAGACTTCTGGTGTGGCCCTGTAGGATACCAGCACTGGACTGCTAAGCATGAGGTCAGCAGTTCAAATCCACCAGAAACCTTTTACAGGGTTACTATGAGTTGGAACTGACTTGATGACAGCACTTAACAACAACAACACTAAGAAGCCTTGGTGTTGCATTGCAGGATAAAGCACTGGACTGAAAGGTTGTTTTGAACCACAAAGTTGACAGTTCAAATTCACCAGCCATTCTTTGGAAACACTATACAGAGTCTCCATGAGTTAGAATTGACTCAGTGGCACTTAACAACAACAACAACAACAACAACATCCCATTAAGTCCAATTCCTAGGAATGAATGTTCTAGTTCCTCTTTGGGATAACTGGGGTTGTTTAGAAAGTATTCTAATTCATACTGATCTAAAATTTACCATTCTATAAGAAGCTCTGGGTAGTAGTTATGGCTGCTAATCTCATAGTCAGCAGTTAGAAAGTACCAGCTGTTCCACAGGAGAAAGATGAGGCTTTCTGCTCCCATAAAGATTTATAGCCTCGGAAACCCTGTACAGGGTCACTATGAGCACATAACAACAACAACAACAACAAAACATTTCTACCTGAGTATCCTGGATTTAGCTGAAGAGCTGAGGAAATCATTTGTACAAATGATACAGGGAAGAAAACACACAGCAAGTCAGACTTTCTTATGATAACCTTCCCTACCAGCATTCCTCTGACTATACGCTAGTGCAACAAAATACCGTTTTAAGAAAATGCTGCTCAGAATGGCATGGCGGTCTAAACAGAGCAATAATTACTTCCCTTACTTTATCACATTATTGCATGCATACATTCATTTTTCCAACTCCTCTCTTCCACTGGACAACTGCTTTTGCAGTTGCATTATTGAGACTAAATTTAGGATTTTCAATAAAACCCAATATATTTTAAAAATCATTTTTAATTAGACAATGACATAAATGCATATTCTGAGTATAAATCTTATTTCCCACTAATAAATTGTTGAATACTGGCTCTGTCATTGCCCTTTTTTTGTTTTCTCACAGATAAGATTATTTACAAATCATTAAGAGTGCCCTGAAGATCTTTAACTACATCAAGGTGAATCAGCAGCACCTTCAATCATACAAAGAAAGAAACACTGTTTTGGATGATCTCCAAGAGAGCTCCCATCTAGCAGGGTGAACAACTAAGGATGGCCTAATTTGGCCTTAGGGGTTTAAGGCAACTGCGTGATCTCTAGAAGACAGGAAGAACACATGGTACCACATATATTTATACAAGACTGTGGGAACCGATTCAGCAGACATTTCAAAGGGCTTAGATTGGGTAAGTCTTTAAATAAACAAACTCACAAGTGTGAGACCTTAAAATATTCTCTTCTTCATCCCACAACTATTAAATTGGAGAACTGGGTAAACTGTACAATTTCTGTGATTCTAAGTTACAACACTCAGACATTAACTATTATTCCATTCCAAAGTCTATAGGAGCTGGGAATGAAGAGTGTTGAGGAATCAACTTACCACTAGGCTGGTGTTGAATTTGTAAAACCTCTGGACTGTTCTGTCACTGAAGCTGTTGCATAGGTTTTTCTTCACGAAGTTGGGGTGATTCAGGATGTCATTGGCTACCAAGGGCTCCTACCAAGGTCAAACAGAGCAGAAGACATATGCCATTGTAAGCAGCTACAGGCTATTGGAGAATTGAACTTTTTGCTTCCCAACAAATACCTTGTGGGTGATATGCTGCTGTTCAACAGGGGCATGGCCTTTGGGGTCAATGAGGGTTGGATGTGCCACCAGGTAACCCCTGTCCTCCATTATGAAGCACCTAGGCCAAAACAAATGACATTCCTCATTGATGTAGGGGTTCTGCTGCACTTTCGGAGGCTATTTATACTCCTGGCTCTGAAACACATTACATTTAGCTTCGGTTTTCAATAAATACTCATTGGACACAATGAAAGAAGTCTGGCATACAGGTAGATAGGTACATACTCTTGAAGTGGTACTTCACCTGGGTTACAGGTTAAGATCTGAGATCGCCTACATAGTTCATACAAAGGGTGCCTGTCTAATCCAAATCAGGTGGACTTGTAGAGCTCTTGAAAGAATGTGCAATTGTGATATTTTTATTTTATTTTTTTTCTTTCCCCTTTTTTGAAGAAAAGGAGATCCTGAAGGAAGTGGACTTAGGTATTCGTTGGCACAACCTTGAAGTAAACCATACTGTTTACTTCTTTTGATGGCAAACAAATTATCAAATACAACATTCAGGCAACATATAAAAATATATTTGATGAAAATGAGTAGTAAGCAAGCGAAGCTAGAACTGTTTTGATCAAGGCTACATTCTATTCTATTTGACTTTACATTAGCCATACTCGGGAGCCATGAATCCTGCATTCCCCATCAAAGGCCAATGTGAACTCCAGCATGATGTGATGTGTGGACTATAAGAATCTACTAAAAAAGCTATTTTAAAAAAAGTGTTCTGCATTAAATGAAAGGAATGCCTTTGCTTTGATCAGACATGTTCTTTTGGAATTAAGGAGGCAAAGACTTTTAGTTCCTTGAGCCTTTTTCTGAGGGAAATGTAAAAAAAGAGCAGTCAAAGTGTCTGAAAATTTCACAAAGACTTTGGTTTAATAACTAAGTTAACATCAAAAGTACCAAGCAAGAGTAACCTCTGGTCTAATACTCAAGATGTGAGACACCTCTAATTGCTGGCTACTAGTGCATTCTGTGCCACTGTTACTTCTCCTATCATAAGCTGAATTTGTATAAATCATAAATAGCATGCATCTTAGAAAAAGGAAAGAAAAGAAAAAGAACAACAATGGACTTGATTTCTGGTCCTGACACTGACTCTGTGGACACCATATAACTAGTGATACCTGAGATCTTTTTCTTTATATATAGGCAGCTAGAAGGGAAATGGTGTCCCTAAAGGGCTTACCTTATTTTATTGCCACCATCTTGATTACAAACTGGTAATAAGTCCATCAGAACCTTGTAGAAGTATCTAAGTGTGAAGTCAATGCCCATCACAGCTACAGTGTGTCCAGAAGACAGCTGTGTACTTTATGTGAAAAAGAATAGGAGGCATTTCTTAGTTAAAGGTAAAAGCTACATTCAACCATAAGGACGTATTATACTATCAGTAGAATATTCTAACTGTTCTTTCCCACTTCTCACCCCTACAAAAAAGATAAGCTAAGTAACATGGAGCTTTCATGAGAGAAAACTTTCAGCTGAATAAGTAGAAATATTCTTAACCCATCCTGGAATATGACTACTCCTTTGGTATTATAAAGATATAACCCACTTCTGGTTATAGATAATGTTGGTACTAATTTATATATTATCACAAAAGCATTAGAAGAAGAACCACTTTTTGGTCAGAACATGGGACTGTCATGGGGATAAGATATCGGGTGGGAGTTGTATGGATGACCACTATTGTTGCTTCCAAAAGATCTCTAGAGGCAAGGAACCTGAAATTTGATTAGTGTAAAACTACACAAATTTTAGTAAGAGTAAGGGCTATTCTGACTTCCTTTCCACATCACTAAATCTGGTGCTATTTAAAGAAAACCTCATACTCTAGCACATGTTCTCATGCACAGTCCAGTGCTTCTTCCATTCAATATTACTACTCTCAAAAGAAAGGGAATAGATAGATAAAGTTGGGCAGAAACACATGATGCTAACTTTTTGCCTCTAGAAACAAATGTATCTAAAGTTAAATCCTGGTTCTGTGGATTTTTATGTGCCTCTTGGATGATACTCTACCCTTTTTAATCTTCAGTCTTCTCATCTAGAAATGGAGATAAATTAGTACCTACATTACAAAGCTGCTATTGAAAGTAAATGTATAGTTTTATTTACAGTGTTTAGGGACATGCCTGACATATAGTAAAATACCCAATAAAGGGTACTCTGGTAGCGTAGTGGTTACGAGTTGGGCTGCCAACCGCAAGGTCAGCAGTTCGAAACTACCAGCGGTTCCACGGGAGAAAGATGAGGCATTCTGCTTCCGTAAAGATTTACAGCCTCGGACACCCTGTACAGGGTAGTTATGAGTCAGAACCGACTCCATGGTACTTAACAACAACTCTTAAGAAAAGGAAACAGTGAAACTTTAAACCTCAAGTCTGGGTGGAGGCAACATAATTACTTTGGAAGATACTGCTAGATTTATCAAAACTATGAACTTCTCAGAATGGTTGGAGAACCATGGTGTACTTGGCCAATGGATCCCTGTGCTTTTGAGGTTGGGAAAGTTTAGGGATTATTCATAAGGGGATTTCTAAGAGTCAAAGAGCATTGCAGTCATCTGATATCTTTATAACAAAAATATCTGTCCCCCCCCCCCCCAAAAAAAAAAAAAGGCACTGCTATAGACAAAATTCTTAAAAATATTACTTGGAAAACTGAGACGAGCCTTCCAAAATAAAATCTTCTTATGGCAAATCAGAACTCTTTGGAATGAAATCTCATTTGCCATGTAAACAACTGTCCCCTTCTGGTTACAGTCAATGATGATACTAGTTTATATTACTACAAAACCATTAAAAAAATCATAACCCATAGAGAAACATCTATCAGACTTTTACTATCAAAGTTGGGTGGCAGAGGTGAAGGGAGACCACGTTGTGGGATATCCTTCAAGAAATTACTGCCTCCACAGGAGCTTTTATTTTTTACCAAAGCAACTTAAAATCCCTGGAAGAAATTAAGACACAGTTATCACCCCTAGCTGTGTTTTGTAGGAAACTAGTGTTTTGCTGAAGTACAAGTCCAAAGAATTTTTAACTCTCTTGTTTGTTCAGCTAGCAGTGATGAGTCTAAACAACATTCATTATTATGATCTTCCATTTAGCTAATGTTGGCAATTTATAGATACTTGAGTAGGCATTTGAATGTGATATTTCAATGACTTATCACAGCAAACTTAGCAGGTTTTATCATTTCCAGAAAACTAAAGCTCAGGGAGATTAAGGTTTTGATCAAAGTCACACAGTGACTAACTAGTGGAAGCAGGAATTTAAACCCAGTGGTTCCCACTCCTAAGCTTATGAGGAGGCGCCAAAAAATTTGTGGATAAATGGACTTCAAAGAGAGTAAAATGTCACCACGAATTTTTGCAGCCCCCCTGTACTTTCCACCACCAAGTTATATTGCCTCCTTAGATCATCACAGCATTCAAGAGTTTCCAAGTAATTTTCCAGAACCTGTTTAATTTCCTGTGAAGAAACTTAGAAGTTTCTATTTTATAAGGGAAAAACTAGGATTAGAAGAGTTAGAAGACTAAAACAAGATTGATCACCTTTTATTATGTATGGCATAAATACTAGTTCCCAGATCTGGATCCTAGCACAATACCACAGTCCTTCCATGAGAAACACAATTCAAGTTTTTTGGACTATTTTCGTGTGTAGTATTTTCCTCTACATGACTGCCACCTGCACCAATATGAACAATATGTTGCAGTAACACATTGCCTACATAAGTCTAATGTTACAGTTAACAGTATTCATGGATTTTAGACATGTATATGTTAACTGTAACAGCTCAGAAAGAATGCCATAGAAAAAAATGAAACCAAACCTGTTCTAAGTATACAGTACAATGGACCAGGATGTTTGCAAAACTTTTGTGGGATTTTCTGTGTTAAGGACTTGTCTGACCAGTTCTTTAATCAATAACTGAACTTCATCTTTTTATCAGCATGATGATCGCTCTTCAAGATTCTCAGACCACCGAAATAATGCTTATAGAAGAATCAGATAATACAACTATCATGAGCAACTGTTGGAAGTGTGGAGTTGAAAACAGGAAGAAAATGAGCTGAATATCTGCCCCTTCCCTAATCAGAAGACCCTCCCCAAACTATGAACATGAGTACTTCATGAAAACATGACCATTAGCTTAGCACTTTCTCATGCTGAATAAAATGCCAGAAGTTTAAAGCATTTAATTTAAAAGGCAACAACCAAAAACCCATAGCCATCAAGTTGATTCCAGTTTACAGTGCTATTATTGGACAGAGTGGACCTGCCCCATAGGGTTTCCAAGTCTATAAATCTTTATGGGAGCACACTACCACATCTTTCTCCCATAGAATGACTGGTGGGTTCAAACCACCAACTTTACGGTGAGTAACCCAACTGTTAACCTACTGCACACCAACAGGGTTCCTTGAAGCTCGGATAGCACCTTGATAAAAATAACTGCCAATTACTCGACATTATTAAGTACAGTCCTAAATATTTTCCATGGCTCATCTCTAATTCACATTATACCAGCTCACTATGGGCAGTACAACATGAGGGTCAGAGAAATCAGAAGACAAAATAATAATAAATGTACTTAATAATTATTGAGCCCTTACTACAGGTTGGAGTCCCTTGGTGGTACATACTGTTAACAAGCTTACCTGTTAACTGAAAGGATGGATATTCAAGTCCACCCAGAAGACTGCCTGGAAAGAAAGGTCTGCTGATCTACTTCTGAAAAATCAGTCATTACAAAACCCTATGGAGCACAGTTCCACTCTGATGTGCACAGAACTCCACGAGTTGAAATTGACTAGAAGGCAACTGGTAATACATGGCAGGCACTGTTTTCAGAGTTTTACATATATCATTTAATATCACCTTTAAATTAAACCTGTGAAATAGGATCTATGATCTCTTCCAGGTGAGGAAATCAAGGCAAACAGGGAATAGAGCCACACAATTAAGAAATGGAAATATGTAAAGTATAGGCACACAATAAATCGAAAATCATCTTGCTCAAAGTGAACTCGCATCTTAGAAGAGGGTTACTCTCAAGTTATCACTTGAGGGCAAAATCACTTGTAATCATATGAAAACAAAGTATGTTGTTAAGTGCTTGGTATGCTTAAGTGACCTTTGTAAAGCCTGTCTCTCAGTATATGATGGCAAAGCCCCCTCAGATATACAACTGTTTCTGTTAAGGGTTTTGGAAAGGTATACATTAACCTACATATGTAGACTTCATAAAAAATAAACTTACTTTTCGTCCAAAAAAAAAAGAATAGTGCGTAGAAGGGAAAGCTAATTGTTCTTAATGATGGACTGCTAGGTTGGTAGGGGGTCTGACAGGATACCTAAAGATGGAGATACAAGTGGGTTTCTGCCTGTCCCTAACTGTAACCACATTTTCAAGAGCCTGTTCTGGCCCATTTCATTGTCATCAGAGATCAAAGTAACTGCTGTCCTCTCAAAGAAACAGCCTTGATTTACTTTTATTCAACTGAGTAGAATGTATGGAAGGGATGAGAAGTCACGCTATTCAGACATTAATTAGTAGGCGTATGCCTGACAGATGGTTTGTTAATTAAAACATTGAAGATCTGTTAGAAACAAGTATTTACTTGTTTATGTGTGAAATATTATTCAATGGGTACAGCTGACACAGCCAAAGATATGACCGTGCCCTGCAAAGAAGTCAACGTTTAGCTGGCTGCAGGGCCCTACACTACATGGATGCACAGGCCATGATACTGAAAGTCCACACCATCCGGCTCCCAATGAACTAGCTTTACTTTAGAAGAATTCTACTGAATGTCAATCATTTGACATATAATGAGCACTGGTGAAAAGCATAAAGTTAAGCAAGAAAATCTGTCTCCTATAAATTTTAAGGCATCGTTACAGATACCAGTCAAAATACAGTCTTTCTGGGGCTAGAGAAAAGCAGTTATTTGTATAATGAAGAGATGGATTAAAGCAATGTGACTTGCCTCTCTACCTAAATTCTACTAACGTTTGTAGCTTAAATACAGAACGGACAGAAACCTCAAAAGCAAGATTTTGCCAAATATATTTACAGTGATAGTGACATAATAGTGTTTTGGGAAAAATCAGTTTTTCAAAAAGTCTTTTCTATTTTTCAAGAGACAATGCAAGGACAAAGGAAAACAACATCAGCAACAGAACTCCTCTGTATTTTTTAAGTTTTGACCCAAACCCAAAAGGTAATATGCTTTTACTTCACTAAAAATTATCCTGTATTGAGAAAACACTTCTTGACAATGATATCTATCTATCAATCTCCTGCTTTGATTCCTTCTATTAGTTTAAGGATGGTGTGACTACCAATTGTGCTACTGAATCTTTAACATCTTTCTCCTTCTTTTTCATAAGCATCATCATGGATACTGCCATGCATAGGGCTTAGAGCCTTTCATGGACTCAATTCATTTGGTCACCTTTTAGGTAGATTTTACTTCCATTTTACAGATGTCAAGGGAAGCTCAAGGAATCAAACACTACAGAGCAAAAGAAGAAATTCAAACCCCATCTTGCCTCATAAGAATGTTTCCCTACCAATCCTTGGTGTCTATTATTCAATTTGAAACCTCAAAATATCCTTAGAATGCTTAAGAAATGGCTGAAAAGTTAATTAAAATATTACCTAGATGAATGAATTGTATGACTGATGGTCACTACATAGCCGGCTCCTCCAACATCTAGGTAAGGACCAGTCAAAGAAATCAAGCCTGGATTAGCTACAGCATGGAGATACCTAATGGAGACCAAAACAAAGTCATGTTATCTTAGGGTATAGGCAGCTACTTTACTAAATTGCAATGAAAAGTGAGCTTGCAAATCTCAAAGTATTTATTATAAATTTTTCCCATGTTACATTACAATTTAAAAAGGTTCTTTTATGTACGACTGTAGCATCCACACAAGAGGTCAAAACGATCTTTTTAAAACAGACATTGAACTCAGAAAACATCTGAGCTTATTATAAGATCTACAATGCAGGTGTCATAGATAGAAATAAAAGAGGAGTTAATGAATGAAGTAGAAAGTACTTCAGCTGGGTACATCAAAATGCACCCTGGATTACTAAGGGAGGGGAAAATGGTAATCAGAATAGCCAACTCATGAACGACCAAGCCACGAAGCAGCATACAACTAAACATCTTGTTTTTACGCACAAGTCGCCATATCACCTGGCTAGCTTTAGTTTCTGAAATCAGAGTAAAAATAAAGCCCTGAAGAGTAAGGGAATGTTTTGGTGTTTACTTTGTTCATTTTTAATAGGTCACCCATGTCTTTTAGAACTTTGATGCCATCATCACGTGCAGTGAAATTGATTATGCTGGTGTTCTTAAGTGCTGTCGATAGGTTTCCACCCTGTATAGGGTTTCTGTGGAGTGACCGGTGAATCTGAACCACCAACCTTGTGATTCAAATTGACCTTCTGGTCCAGTGCTTATCCTACAGTGCCACACCCACTTTAAAACACTGTACATGAGGCAGGAATCATGTAAACCATGAAGAACTGAAATGGCCACATGTAAGGCATTTGGAACTCACAAGCTATTGCTGATACTACATTAAAATTCTAGACAAAAAACAAGCTATAAAAACATATTTCCACTGCCATGAGAGCATCTTCTTTAACGTGACTGCCTGAAATTGCTTTATTGGATGCCTTTATCATGTCTGTCTGTAGGATTCTGGGGGTGGGGACAGGTTTTAAAAGAAACCCCTTAAACTCACCATTGTCTCCTAGTGGGATCAAATGCTTTGTCCATGAGGGAACCAGGATAAATTCTGAGGACACCATTGGGCGTTGCTATGTAACGGCGGACAATGTAAGTGTTCAGGCTACTCATTTCCATTTGTGTCATCCATTCATCTGTGACGTGGCTGGTAGCCATTACTTCATTTCTGACAGAGAACTGGGAAACAAAGGACGACATAGCAGGGATCCTTTAAGTCTCACATGAAAAGATTGGGCTACTGACAGGGCTTCCCAAAGCTCTCTTGCAGAGAAGCCAAACCCAATTACTTCTTAAAAACCTTTGCACAGCAGATGGATGTGGCCTAACTTGGTGAAAACAAAAACTCACTGAAATATAGAGTCAGTTGGTGTGTGATTACTCAATTATTTGCCCTCGGAAGGTTTTCCCTGTTTAAGAGGGAAAACCCTACTGTAAGTGCATTAAAACACGGAAAGAAAAGGACAACGAAATCTTTGCTCCTTTAAACTGTAGTTTAAAGTACCATATGTACTTCAACAGATAGTGGTGGGCACTTTTCTTCATTCCTCTAGCAAAAATGGGGCTGGGGAAGTTCCAATGGTCTCTAAATCACAACCCCCTACCTTGGAAACCCCCGTGCATCTGAGATCTGAAAGAGATCCTTCCTCTGGTCCCCAAGGTTTCTTAATCCACCAGAAGGGTCATCACTGACCAGTTTTCCTTTGGCCACACACTCCACCTTTCTGGCTCTCTAGCTGAGAGGCACAGATCCAGAACTTCAAAGGATTACTGCCAACACCCCCACCCCCCAACCTGGGTCAGTGGAAGGAATCCACTAAAAGTGGGGCCCTGGGCCAGCACTCACTTTGAGCCCTGGGTTAGCAATGAGGCGGGTGTTGTCGCTGAGGTAGGCTGTGTAGTGCTCCACCATGCGTTTTGTCTCAGGCTGGCTGAGGTGCTCGTAGGGAGAGGAAAAGCTGCCAGCAGACAGCATGACAGTTGGACTTTCTGAAAGAGAAGCAAACAAAGCAAGTCTGAGAGCACTGAGCCTGCATCTCGGGCTTAAAACAAAAGTATCACTCTGCCGCTCACACCAAGCTGAGAGCTCAATACTGGAAGACAAGTAGCTATGGGAAATAGCTACTTCCTTTCCTCTCAGGAAGCTCAGAGTCATCAGTGAAGTAGACGAAACATACACACAAATGATACAAGTGTCTGAAATGTTGAAAGTATTTTAGACCTATAAATAACATTCTACACTTACCAGAACTGAAGAAGCAGGGTATGGCAGAGAGTCAGGCTGGGTTGTCAATGGGCTCCACCATCTCCTGGCTATGTGTTATTGGGCAATGTGAGTTCACTTGATGCATAGTCTTTGAAACTCTTACCAAATGATTGGGTGGGGTTACGTAAATTGTATGGGACTCTAAAGCAGAATTGCTTGGTTTTGCCATTCTGCTGGGTCTTAAATGCGCCATCTCAAAAACAGGAACAGAGGATCTCAAGACCATTATGAAATCTTTTCTCCTTAAACTTCACCATATTGACAATGCATCCTTTGGACCCTGAGTTTTCTGCATGGAGAAGCAGTGGCAGCCGCAGAATGGGTAGACAGAGTAGTGGGCTTCAAAGCCCATGGAATGAGTAAAGCTGAGTGTCTTCAGGCAGTAGGCTGACTCATTGATCTGACTGCCTTTGGAGCATTTATCAATATGGCTAAAGGAGTTTGTAATACTTGCCCAAGCAGGTGAGAAGACAAAGTGCTGCATGGCTGAGAGGCCAAGGATCAGAGAGGGCTGTGCTACTGACCAGAAAAGTGATGTATCTTGAGTTGTTTCTGATCCTGAATTGTACCGTGTTAACTACCTTAGTAAACCTCACAATCATGAATATTGTCTGTGGGTTCTGTTTGGTCAATGCAACACATTATCAAACCCAGGAGAGAAGCAGAGTCCCATGAGAGGATGGTTAGTGTCAGAAGAGGATGAAGAAGGGTGGAGGGTGGAGGCATGTCTGATGTTTGCCTTAGATGAATCAGACTTGGATTAGTCAGTCTCCTCCTTCCCTCTAGTGAAGCTGGAGGAGGTCAGACAACATTTCAACACCCTTTTTTGCAGGCAAGTTGTAAGATATATACATCTTCATCTGCAAAGCAGGGGAAATAATTACCCCAACTTTATAGAGGAACGGTGAGAATTAGTGAATTAAAATGCACAAAGCAAATGAGTCAATAAATCTACTTGGACTACTGCTTGGCACATAAGGGTTCAATAAATGAAAATTATTGTTCTTACAAGTATAATTATTTAGGAAGAAGAGATGAACAGTGGAATAAATATAAAATTGAAATAAAAATCAATCTCACAATTGGCGCAGTCAAACTTGGCATTCACAAAAGCTTGCGAAATAGTTAATGAATTCAGATTTAGTGGTTGGTCCTATCTAAGAGGGAAATGCTGGTTCTCTATTTAAGACAAAGAAAGCGAGAGCAAATATGAGTGAACTGTCCTTGAACTCAATCAACTTAGGATCCAGTTGGGAAGAGAAGGAATAAATAGAACAAAACAATGTAAGAAAACTTAATAATAGAAGAAACATCAAGGGCAACATGTACTTCAGGGTCAAAAAAGTCATAGTAGGTTTGTAAGGCCAGAATTAAGAGGAAGAGAAATTCCATAAGGAATGGGCCTTTTTAGTAGTGAGGAACCTGGACATTTTGAGAAAAGACAATGCAATGTAGTAGGATGGATTGAGCATAAAGAAAGAACAAACAAATACAGAACCGATAGTCTTGTGTCTATCAGGCAGACACATATACATCGAAACAGTTATATACTTCTGCACACGTAACTAACTGCATTTGATAATATACTACTAAAAAGTTATCTTGTGTACCAAGAAAATGGATTTCCATCAGCCCTCTTGGAAGGAGCATTGACATATTTAATATTTTGCCTCAAAATACACATTTCCAATGAAATCAGATGCGCACTCTTATACACCATTGTTTCTCTAAGTTCTAGTCCCTTTTTGTTGTTGTTGCTGTTAAGTGACATCAAGCCAGTTCCAACTCACAAAGACCCTACATAGGTTTTACAAGGAGCAGCTGGTCAGTCTGAACTGCCAACCTTGTGGTTTGTAGTCTAGTGCTTATCCTACAGCATGGTTCACTTTTATCATCAACTGATCCTAAAGTATCCCCGGTAACCCCTCTCTACTGTCCCTGGGCTCCAATGCCCAGTGTGTGGATCAAATGGAGGGTGAATCAAACTCCCAGTGAAGAGTCATATGCAGGTTTGTGGTCTGCCTGGTGACTGGCACCACTGAACCCATCATATGTAAAGGATCTGAGGTCAAAAACAGCATTTTCTGAGTACTCTCTATGAGGCAGTATTGGCCAATCAAAATACAGTGAAACCCACAAATGCCATTTGCAATTTTCTAGTAGCCACATAAAAAAAGCATAAAGAAACAGACTAAATTAATTTTAATAATATATTCTACAGAATCTAGTATATCCAGAAAAATATTAAGTACTAAGTTTTTAAAACATAATGTGTATGTGATTCTTCCAGCACATGTTTACTGGAAATAGCTACATTTCAAATGCTTAGGAGCCGCATGTGGCTCCCACATTGGACAGCTCAGCTATGAGGGATTATCAGAAGGAAATAAAAAAACCTAGTCCTGAGGTTTTTTCCCTCCAAGAAAAATTGCTGCTCTTCACGGTTTTATATTTCAAATAGTAACCTCATTTTCACCAACAGTAGTGTTTAGCTTGCTCATATAGCACTTAAAAGAGGGTTAGGCACACATCAGCTTTTCATTTAAAAATAGGAATTAACAGACATACTCTTTTGCATCAAAATAAATTAGCAAAACATGTAAAACCTGATTCAATACAAATAAACAAATGTGAAATCTGATCTTCTTTGATTGACATCATTGCTGGACCATGACATAGAAGAGACCACTTAACCCAGTCTGCTTTTCCATGATGGAATTTAGAAGAGGAACCCAAACACAAGTGTCTCGTTTGGAATTTAGAATCCTTAATCCGCTTCCCGCCTGCGCCTGTACTCTGTTTAGCAGTGACACGGAGAACAGACGTTGTATATACAGTACAGAGGGGGTACTGAGAGTACAGTGGGATACTGAACACATGGAATGAAAAGGCCTCGTGTGTGCATGATGCACGACAGTACACATGAGCAGCAGCTTCATGGTAAACAGAAGCAGCATGAGTCAAATCTAAACTTTGTTATCTTGGAAAAATATTTACCTCTGGTAAACACAAATGTCCCCATTTATAATAGGTCAACTTAGATGATGAAAGTAAGAAAAACCTGTTATAATAAATACAAATTCAAATGTCCTTCGGCTAAAATTGAATTAGTTTCCTGTTTCTTAAGCCTTCTGAAGACAGAGACCTGTGGTGGGTACTGTTTGTTGTCAACACACTACACTGACTCCTTAGGACTCGTTTTCCTGCTTCCTGTTCCCAGCTTCATACCTCTCTATTTGACTGCTTTCTTCTAATGGCCCATACCTGAAATTGTCTAATGGCATGCCTTTGGGCTTGTTGTTAAGTGCTGTCCAGTGGGTTCTGACTCATAATGACCCTCTATAGGAGTGGCTGGTGAGTTTCAACCGCCGACCTTGCAGTTCAAACCAATCTTGAGGTCCAGGGCCTATCCTATGGTGCCAAACCAGGACATCTATTTGACCAGCATTAGCAGAAAGGTGAAAAAGACTATGGAGTATAAAAGCCCAACTCCCTTCCTTGAGCCTGGAGAAACTCCATAGCATAATTTACACTCTATGGGCTGAGACTGGAATCTCACGTGAACTCAAATTCTTGCTTGGCTTTTCTCTATTCCCTGTTCACTTTCCTCACTTCCTTCTAAGAGCCCATTCTTTATAAATCAATGGCCCACTCATCTTCCTCTCAGCATCTGCTGGAGAACCTGACCCAAGACAAGATTTCAAATCTTTTTTCACACTTTTATCTCTAAACCCACAGGTACTATAACCATTGAACATTTTTATTTATTTATTTACTTTTGAATTCAAGTGAATATTTATGGTGATCTTCTATGAGACAGGGCGATAGTGGTGGTTCAGTGGTAGAGTTCTTGACTTACATGCAAAACACCTAGGGGTCCAATTTCTGGCATGCATATCTAACGCACAGCCACCACCCACCAGTGAATGGAGGCAGGGGTGTTACTATGATTTTGAACACGTCTCACTAGCTATAACTTTCAAACTAGGAGACACTGGGTAGAAAGGCCTGGCAACCTACATCTGAAAATCAGCCAGTGAAAGCCCTACAGATCACAAGGGTCAGAGCTGCAACTGATCACAGAGATGGTGTAGGACCAGACACCACTGGGCATGAGGTCCCTGTAGTTGGGGGCCAACTTGACAGCAGCTGACACCAATAATAAACTACGAGTAAGATAACAAAGGAGGCTATTTTTACTAGCTGAAGAGTTGGTTCCGACTCATAGAGACCATATATGGGGTTTCCGAGGAGTAGCTGGTATATTTGCACTGATAACTTTGCGGTCCAGTGCTTATCCAACAGCGCCACCCCAGGACAAAAGGAGGTAAGATGTGACAAATTTTACCTAGAGTTGCCAGCTGTTTAAAGTGGAGGCAAGCACTAGGCTGGCCCAAGAGATCCAGGCGGTGGTACAGTAGCTTGCTGCTGGGGACAGTGTTGAGATTCTTCAGTTGTTTGACAGGTATTTCTGGCTGTATCACCACAATACACAGAATAAAGGAAGTGTCTTGAACCTGTTAACAAAACCAATAAACAATTTCTAACACAGAAAATGAAGGATCCACGGGCAGGAACTCTTAATACATTTATTTTCTGCTTAGATCAAAGGTACCCAATGAATATTTGGTGAGTGAATAGATACATAAAGATGGGGCGATAGAAAACATCTCTTATGAAAGTTCTATTTTCTGTTTTCCTTTCTGATTGAGGGAAATTAATGTATGTAATAGAAAATCCTGGAGCTAGTGAAAGGATTAGAAAGTAGTCTCTCTGAAAGAGTGACCCAGATCTTGTTTTCTTAGGCTAATGGACACAGCCTGCAAACACAATACTTATTTCTATTTGGGTTTGAAATGTATTTGCAAATAGTTCATTTTGCAGTAAATGTTCTGAGATGTGACTATACTTTTCAAGCCCACTTATATGAAGTATCTAGAATAGGCAAGTATGTAATGAACAAAGTAGATTTGTGCTTAACAGGGAGGAAGGGGAAGTGGGGCACTGTTAATGGGTACAGAGATTTTGTTTGGTTAAGTAAAAGTTTCGGAAGTAGCTGTGATGGTTGCACAACACTGTGAATATAGTTAACGACACTGAATTGTACACTGAAAAAAAGACTAAAATGGCAAATGTTGTATGTATTTTACAATAAAAATTTATATATATATATATAAAACAAAGACAAATTTCTTTTTATAAGACTATATTTAGAAGATGAACAGAACTTACTGAAAAGATGCTGAGTAAATAAATGAGGAGGAATATGATCATCTAGGTCAGAGGAAAAGGACAGTGGTCTATAAAGCAGATCCAAAAAAACACACTTCATGGTCAAGGAGAAATTTTTATCTGGACAGGTTACAGTGAAGTGTAATTTAGACTTTGTAAGGACAGTTGAAGAATCTTAAACACAATTCAGTTCCAATTCATAGCAACCCTGCATAGGATTTCTGAGGCATGATTTGTAAGTTTGAACCACTGACCTTTATCTCTTAGCATTCCAGGGCTTAGCCCACAGCACCACCAAAGCACTCCATCTAAAAGTAGTTCTTAATAAATAGTCCTTAACTGGACTGTTGTGCATTAAATATATTTGATAAGGCTTTTCTTTTTGTTTTTTTAAATATTTTATTGTGAATTATGTGGTAGTTTACATAGGAGAACATTAGTTTTACATTCATCCTATCGTATATAGTTTCATTACCATAGTTACAATCCCCTCCATGCATCATCAACCAACCAGAGGGTATATCCTACAAGCCTGCACCCCTGGTTGTCAGCACACAGCCCCTCTCCCTCTCTGGGTCTAAAGTTCCCAGCTGCTCCATCTCTCCACATCATCGCCTCTGCCTCCATCTCTGGCATCACTGCTTCTCTGGGTAGGGTGTTGATAAGGCTTTTCTATCTAAAGTCTTCTTAATTCCCACCAAGTAATTGGTTATTGTTGTTATTATGTGCTGTGGAGTTGGTTCCGACTCATAGCGACCCTGTACAGAGTTTCCGAGGCTGTAAATCTTTACGGGAGCAGAAAGCTTCATCTTTCTCCCGCGGAGCAGCTGGTAGTTTCGAACTGCTGACCCTGAGGTTAGCAGCCCAATTTGTAACCCCTACGTTACCATAGCTCTTTAAGTAATAGGTTGGAACCATGCAAATAAGACATACAGGACTTTAAGGCTGAGATTGGTTAGTTCTATCCTCTGTTGTTGTTAAGTGCCATCAAGTTGGTTCTGACTCATAGAGACCCTGTACAGGGTTTTCAAGGAGCAGATTGTGAGTTTGAACTGCCAACCTTGTGGTTCAAACTGACTTGTGGTCCAGTACTTTAACTGGGTTTAAAAGGAGCCATCTCAGAAGCAGAGATGGAAGACCCCTGGCCTATCAAGAAGGAAGAGCATTAGTGGAACATAACAGGTTAGGGCAAGAAGTGAACAGCTTCCAGCTCTACGGTATGGCCTGAGTAAAGCTGAGTGCCTACAGGCAGGAGACAGGCTTGCAGAATGTGTCCTTTGGGCATTCACAGACTGGCTAAAAGCATTTTGCATCACTTGTCAGAGTACGGCAGAGGTTGAGGGGCCATATGGCTGAGAGGCTAAAGACAAGAGTGAGGTGTGCCGGCAATATGGCAGACAAGAGGTGTTCTAGACTTGAAGACTGATGAGCCCTGAATTGGTTTTGATCCTGACTTGTACCCTATTCACTTTCCTAATAAACTCCATAATCATGAGTATTGTTATGAGTTCTGCATGGCCATTACAATGGATTACGGAACCCAGATGTGAACCAGAGAGTGTTGTGGGAGGAATGCTTGGTTTCAGAATAGGGTAAAGAAGGTTGGAGGTGTGAAGCATGTCTGACGTCCTTGTCAGAGAAATCAGACTGGTGCTGGTTTGGAATGTGATTCTCTTTCCCCCTGGTGAAGCCAGGGAAGTCAGAGATGGCTCCCACATGGTTTTTATAGCTGTTGAATCAGTTCTGACTCACAGTGACCTATGAGTGGCTGCTGGGTTTGAACTGCTGACCTTGTGGTACCAGTCCAGTGCTTTTCCTACAGTGCCAACTTAGGACTCGAATAAAGATCTTTCTTGGAGGCCTGGTGTGGTGCTGTAGGATGAACACTGTAATTAATGCTAACCATCACCCACTCCTTGCTAGGCATTGGAATTAACTCAACGGCACTCAATGACATTATATTTCTGGTAGCGTAAGCCATCAGTGTTCTCAACTGCTAACAGAGATTGGTGGTTCAAGTCTATCTAAAATTGACTCGAAAGGAATAGTCAGGCAACCCACTTCTGAAAAAGTAGCCACAGAAATCCTGATGGAGCAGAGGTCTATTCTGATAGCCATGGACTCACCATGAGCCCAAACTGAGGGGGTGATAATGGGTTTGCCTGTTTTTACATTGTGTTCTTAACTGAAACAACCAGTACAATCATTTCCACATTAACACACTGGCATGGCACTAAAAGGTCTCTACATGGTGGGAGAGTTGTTGTTCCTGCTCCTTGCACATGAGATCTGTGTTCTGAAGTGATTCATGCCTAGGTAACGTGGAAGTGCTCTAATACCTTCTGAGATTCCACACTTCCATCTGTGCTAGCATCGCAGATGCTCCTGACAGATTAATCTCGGAAAGCTGCGAACATCATCTCTCCAGTTATATACTGAAATTAACTTCATAAAATAATTCATCAGTACCTGCCATATCTATGCAGTTATTTTCAACATAAGCTAAATTTGTTTGAATTATCTTTAGTGTGCTCAATAAAATAAAATCCATTTTATTCTGTAGGACAAGGTGTCATTTGTTTCTCCTTCTGCCTAACCAAACTAAATCCTCTGTCACCGAATCAATTCCAACTCACAGTGACCCTGTACAGGGTTTTCCAAGACTATAAATCTTTACAGGTGCAGAAAGCCTCATCTTTCTACCGCAGTGCAGCTGATGGTTTTGAACTGCTGACCTAATGGCTCACAGTCCAGTGCTCACGTCACACCATCACCAGAGTTCCTTCAAAATAACTAATGAAAGCTCAAAAAATTTACTTTTACAGCTTGGTATAACCAGGTGAGACTTTAAATTTCAATCCCATTAATACTGACTCGATTTTTTACTTAATACTGACCTGCCTGATAGTTTCAGAACTCTGAGGAAGCGAACACTTCTATCTGAAGTAACTGTATGATTGCTTTTGTGGTGAAATGAGCTCCTTTATATGGGCTTTTGCATTGGTTTTTCTGAAAAACAGCCTGAGGGAATTTTCTCCTAAGCCCTCCTTACTTTTGTCCTAACTAGGACATTTTGTTCTAACTGCATCTCCTGGGGAAGGTATAAACAGCTTGTGGTTCTGGCTAGCCTTGGTCCTGTGATTGGCATGCAACTTTAAGTCATTAGTCAGTCCACTACAATGTAAATGAGGTATCTGTGGCCTACTGAGAGGGGATTTGACAGTTCATGGCCCTGGTGGGAGGGCCATCCTTTAAACTTGACAAGGAGTTGGTGTATATGGGCAGCCAATTCCACAGACATCTTTCAGACAGGAAGTAGTAGAAAGGAGAAAAGTGAGAGCGAAGCATTAACAAATAGAGGAGAGTCAAAGACCCTCCACAAAGGACAAGGTCTGTAACACTGAAGATGATGACAGGCTTGGAAGGAACCCTACTGCAGAATCACTGGTGACAAAGGCAGGGCCAAGAGAAACCTGTCTTCAGAGGGCTGTGAGGAGACCTGCGAGGCTAAAAGAAAGGCCTGCTTGCTCGCAGAGCTGAAAGGAGTCAAGAGAACTGTCTTGAACAGAAGAAGGGCGGAATGTGCTCTCCTCTTCGGGGGAGCCTTCCAGACTTTGCCTGTGCATTTCCTGATCCTGAGCTGTATCCTTATTTCCTTTAATAAACCACTATTTAACTATGGTCTGTGAGTTGAGTGGCCATTACAACAGATTACTGAACCCAGAAGAGAAGTAGAGAGTACTGTGGGAAGACAAGCTGGTGTCAGAATTAGAAAAAGGATAGAAAGGTGGAGGGACATCTGACCATTACCACAGGAATCAACTTTGGACTGAATCTTATCATTATCCATCTTGAAGTTAGACAGGTGCCAACACTACTATTAGTACTACAGTTGAACAGCAATGAATTTGAACAAAGGCCAGAATTTACCAGATTCACTGAGCAAGGACTTGAAGAAGATAATACTTCTTTCCAAAACGTGAATACTGGGTTTATTTGTTGTACAAAGATCTTACGAATGCCTACGTTGCTTTCTTTCTCTTTTAGTGTCTGTAATTATTAGTGCAGATGTTTTCTTAGGCTGTCAACTGAGCTGTTTTCAATTAGGATTTGGTGGAGGCAGATTAATTTCCCGTTTTGAATACAAGCAATTATTTTTAATTAAGAAATTTGATGTAAAAATCAAGTAACTCAACTTTATTTTTAAAAAGGAGAAAAAAATTATATATGAAAGAGCAGACAGTGTTATCATTCTCACAAAATTCTGAAAATGACTTGGCCATACACATTCTGCTCCCAGACACAGGCACGGTCAGGTATTGTCATCCAAGGGACTCACAAGTCCTTGTGTTGGAAGCTCAGTGATTAAAATGTAATGACAGAAAGCAAACCCCATTTTCCTTTTACTCAACTACAGTATTTAAGGCCCCATGATGACATGGTTATGCTAAGCTGAGAGGGAAGTGTAGAGGGCAAAACGTATGTAACATGGATAGTATGTGCTAGAATCTATCTTCACATGATTCTCTGAGACCCAGGTATGAATTAGGTTAGACAGAAAGTGAAGGTGGGTGGGTGCTATAAATTAAGACTAAATTTTCAATCTCCTCAGGCTGAAAATGAATAATCCAAGTTCTAATCTAAACTTTCTTTTTCTTAGAGAATGTCAGTAGGAGAGATTTATTCATTCAAACTTGTTTGTTAATTCCCAACTTCTAAAATTTGAGTTTTTAAAGGAGAAAAACTAGACATAATACAAATTTCCTAGTTGGTACAAATGGCTGTTAACCAAAAGGATGGTGATTCAATCCATCAGTAACACTGTTGGAGAAAGGCCTGTTAGTGAACTTCCATAAGATGGGCTATTGAGCACTTTGCTGATTGCAGTACTGCTGCGATACATGCGGGTTTGTCATGAGTTGGAATCAACTGGTTTGGGGGTTTTTAAAAATTGTTGTTCTAAAGCTAATCGAAATGTACAATGGGGTACTGGATGGTACTGATGAAAGGATTTACTGTTGTTAAGTGTCTTTAAACCAGTTTTGACTCATAGCGACCCTGAAAGGGTTTCCAAGGAGTGGATGGTGCGTTTGAACTGCCGACCTTGCTTATCCAGTGCTTATCCTACAGCAAGCATCTAGAAATTGAGCAAAGGGGTTACTATTAGAGAAAGTAAGGTCGAAGGGAAGGACACATTTTGCTTTTTCCTTTCTACCCTTTCATAGGGGTTGATTTATTAATCATGAACATTTATTTGTTATAAATCTTTGAAAAACTATTAATATCTGCAGGATCTCATCTTTATCCAATCACTTTAAAACTGATTAGTAATACAATCAGACCTGAAAATTCAGACCAACACCACATGGAGTTTATTCTATCTTGTAGCAACCCTATGTTGTTGTTGCTAACTGCTGTCCAGTCGATTCTGACTCATAGCAACCCTGTAAGAAGTTTTCTAGGAGTGGCTGGTGGGTTTGAACTGTTGACCTTGTGCTTAGCAGTCTAGTGCTTATCCTATAGTACCACACCCAGACTCCACAGGGACCGAATGGGACAGAGGAAAACTACTCCTTGGGGTTTCCAAGACAGTATATATTTACCAGAGCAGACAGCCTTACCAGTCTCCTGCAGAGTAGCTGGTGGTTTGAACTACTGACTCTGCAGTTAGCAGCCCCATGCTTACCCCATGGTCTCACCAAGGCTTCTTAATCAGACTTAAGTTTCCCAAAACTCCCCCAATGAAGAAGAGCACTGCACTCCATTGCTCCTCAGGTAAAGATGACCCCCAACTCACCATCTTCCAGGCGTAGCTAACGTTGTAGGCATCCTTCCCGGTATCTCTCAGTTTGTTTATGTGCCAAGACAGGGAGGAGTTCACAGGAACTGCAATAATCTGGCTGCCCAGAGGGAGGCTGCGTTGGCAAGCAGAATTAAATACTTGAGGCAAAAGATAAAACTAAGCACTTAATTAAAAGCAGGGAAGAAGCTGTGAGCCATTGACCACCTCTTAATTTTTAAAGCAATGAAGCTCATCACTTTCTAAAGAGATAATATATGGTTTTCAATTTCAGAAACACATTATGTCGCTCTGTTCTAAAAACGTTCCCTATTCTCTATTTGCCCCCTTAAATTCTAATTCTTTCCAATGGCTAACTAGCCTCACATCATTCAGTCACTAATTTTCTACCAGTGAGCTCATAGATATATTTCTCTATAGCTTGTTGTTGTTGTTAAATGTTGTCCAGTCAGTTCTGACTCATAGCGACCCTACATGGGGCTTCCGAGGAGTGTTTGGTGAGTTTGAACTGCAACAGACCTTGAGATCCAGTGCTCATCCTAGTGTAGCACTATTGAAAAGAAATCCAAGTTGGTCTTGAACTCATGAGAAAACTTTGTATACAATTGTACTGTCCACCTGAAACAGATGCGCCTTTGCCAAGCTATAATTTTAGCATGAGTAGAGCTGGTCCTCCACTTCACTTTTTATTTTGCCAATATTGTTCAATTCACTATGATTGAGCATTTTTTAAAATGAGGTCTGTCTTATTTTACCATTAAAACCACTGGGAAAATAGAATTTCATTTAGAAGATTCTTCCCCCTAAATAATAGTTCTGAGAAATGTCATGTAGAGTAAAAAAAGTCTTTATCTTTCTTCATATGTAAAAATTACTAAGAATACTTTTGAATATACTGATATAATTTATAGACAAGGTTTTTATCCTGTAGTAAGCACTCATATTTGACTTACTCTTGGAGAAAAAGAAAATATTATAACCCTCACCTTTTCCTTACCTTAGGATATTTTGCCGAACCAACTCAAATTTGGGAATATTTTCATAATGTATGATGTCAGTATGAAGGGGGGGTTCTGACAGTAAATACGGCCTGGTAAGAGATGGATGCATAAGTGTATATCCTGAAATAAGAAAACAAAAAAATGCACGCTATGGAGAACACATTTCAGGACATGCTGATGTTAATAAAAGTGCCTATCACTGGTTTGAAACGTGGATTTCTTTGGGATGGCTGCCCAGTGTTCGGCTTCTCAGTATGAACTTCACCACGCCAATAAAACCTGACCTTGTTTTATGTGTGCTTATGTAAACCTCCTGAAGTGTAGAAAGATGCCTTAAATTATTCAACATCTGTCTAATCAAGAAAATTTCTGAAGTGCAGGTCTTATGGTTTTCGTTTTATAAGTATTCTACCACACAAACCTTTATGCCAATAAATCAAAAGATAACAATACAGACCAAAAATGGCTCAAAGGATCGCATTCTACCTGTCATTCCTCAAATCTAATTTCCTGAGGTTAAAATATTAACTCTTTCCTATCCCTTAACACAGCATATAAACAAATGCATAAGTTTTAGATTTATTCTACCATCCATATGGTGTCCCACTCCAACCGAGCAGTCCTTGGAACGCTGCTTTTCTTTAAATCCTATCATTTGCCTGCTTTATTTGTTAGTATACGAATGTCGACAGTTATTTCCTTTAGGTTGCTAAAGAAACTTATTTCCTAGGGTTCATTTTTAGGCCATTACCTTTGTCATCTATGAGAAAAGTATAGGAAGCCAAAGAGTCTTGATAATATGTTACGTCTTCAAGGATGTAAGCCAGGTTCACATCCACACCTACAATTCCAAGAAGAAGGTTTCCAAAATAACAGGGCTTACTCACAGTCATGATCAAACCTATAAAACAAAAACAAAAGCAAAACTCTTAAGTCTCAAGTACTGCTCTCTACTCACCTGGAACAAAAGAGAAAGAAGGTAAAGACACAGAGAGGAAAGGAGTCTACAGGGCTAGTAGTCAACACAAACCATGGTCTCATCTCATCTGAGACCAGACGAACTAGATGGTGCCCAGCTACCACTAACAACCATTCTGATCAGGGTCACAATAGCTGGATATTGTAGAACACAAGAGAAATGTGTAACAGAATTCAAATTACTAAAAAGTCCAAACTTACTGGACTCATTGAAACAAGAAGACTCCCTGAAACTAATGCCTAGAGATATGCTTTAAATTTTAAACTGAATTTATCCTTTGAGATCATATTTTAGCAAAGTAACAGATTTGCTCATAAAAATAAAGAACATCACCCATACGTAATGAATTAAAAAAAAAAATTAGACAAATAATTTCTAGGACACCAAATGCTCAAAAATTACTCTAAAGCAAAGAAGAAAAGCTAAGGGTTAGGGGGAACTAAAATATCACAAATGGTACAACCAGAATGGAATGAATGAGCATGGTACACTGTGAGAAATATAACCAATATCTCTGAACAATCTGTATAGAAAGTGTTAAATGGGAACCTAAATTATTCAGTGTCACGTAAATACCATAAAATATTAATTTAAATAAATAATCTAAAACAAACAATCCCCCCCAAACAAAATAAAACAACAACAAACCTGCAGGAAAGAGCAGAGAAAACATTGGCATCTTCAAATCATGATGGCAGACAGAGTAACAAGCCAGTTAGAATGTTCTACAAAGTCTTACTTAGGCAGTTCATATATGCCAGTTAACTTAAATACAGGCAATCTGATTTTCTACCATTTTTTTTGCCTACAAGGACATGGCATTCCAGATCAGTGCGAGATGTACAAGATACGCTTGCCCATCCTTCTAGTCCCTCAGGTGCGGAAAGTCAGCTACATTTGAAAGACCACTGAACAAATGATCTAAAAATCTGGTTCTAACTCAGTTAGGTTCCTTTATGCGCATAGGACTTTGGACACACCACTCTGAGTCTTCATGTCCACATCTGTGTGAAAGGCACAATTGAGGTTGTTTTCTTGGTGTCTGTTGTTGTTGTTGTTAAGTGCCATCTTGTGCCTAGGGGTTGTTAAAGGAGCTCTGGTAGTGTAGTGGTTATGAATCGGGCTGCGAACAGCAAGGTCAGCCGTTTGAAACTACTAGCTGCTCCATGGGAGAAAGATGAGACTTTCTGCTCCCGTAAAGATTTACAGCCTCGGAATGCCCGTTCAGGGTCATTATGGGTCGGAACCGACTTCACAGCACTTAACAACAACAACAAGGGGTTGTTAGATCAAAAGAGGTTATAGATAAAGCAAAGAGGTATCATTATTATTTTTTGTCACTAATGCAGTCTTCCAAAAATCATGGGAAAATGACAAAAAAAAAAAAAAAAA